ATGGTTGAGTGGCGGTGGTGCAGGAGGAAGGGGGCGACGGCGTCCCGACGCCGAGGAGCCCTTGCATCTATCGATTGCATCGCCGTCATCATCATCATCATAATCATCATCTCTTCTGCCTCCTTTAATTAACATCTCAGGAAAACAAGAAGGCTTTGCAAATACAAATAAAAAAAAAGAGACACCCGATTGTCAATTACTCGAAATTAGATCGAAAACTGTAGTTTTCAAATTGTTTATTTTTTTTATGTAATAATCGTGAAACGGATCGGAAATTCGCGTTACGCAAAAGCAAAACAAAAATAACACAAATCCATGAATATAAATCGAGGAATTATCTCCTCGCCCCAATCCGAAACAGTAATTAAAAAACCGGAGCAAATGAAAAGAAGGCGCGGTGGAAACAGAAGAAGGAAAAACAAAGAACACATGCGGAGGAGAAAACGCGAAATAATCAAGAGCGAAGAAAATTAATTTTCCTCCTCTTCGTCTGTCTCTCTCTCTTGACTCACATTATTGTCGTTACGCAACCTTGGATCATTGCGTCGCGGAAGAAACGAGAGACGACGTACATAAAAAAATAATAAAACAAAACACGAACGTAATTATTATTAGTTTTCTGTTTGTTTTTTTTGTTTTTCCGTGAATAATTTAAACAAAAGCCGTGAATTTCTCGGAAAAAAATTATTTGTTTTAATTATTACACTAATTCTGAAAACTTTACGAATTAATGAATGTATCATTAAATGTTATCAATAATTTAATTACGTAATTTTAATTATTAATTTTGGTAAATCCGGACATTGCGTAATTTGTTTTCACGCTCTGATAAGTAAATAAGAATATATATGGAATAGAAAGAAACTTATGGAAAAAGTAATGTAATAATAATAGAAAACAAATATAAAATAAATGAAGTGCGCTTTGTATAATCGTGATCATGCATGGCTTTACGTTACGCTACGGTCGACCGGCAGTTGTTATTTGTTACGTAAGAGATTGAGATTGTCTGTTTGTTTTCCGTTTTTTTTTTGTTTTCTCGCTCAATTCACCTATCTCTTTCGCTCCAATCTTATTTTTATTATGAAGCAGTTTTTTAATTAATTAATCGATTTTTCTTCTCCCGTAAACAAACGCGGTTTATGTAAGACAATAACAGAATCGTCGTTTGCGGTTTCAAGTTCAGTCAACAAAGAAGTCTGTCTACGATTTTCAAATATTCATCACCCAACTCAACGCGATCTCTATATAACAACAGTTGTTATGGTGATTTACGTTACGTAAATTGTAATAATATTGTGAAATCGTTCTGTACCGAATTGCAAATGTATTACGAAAGTTAATCTATTTCGTACTGAGAGAATCGACGAAGACTATTAAAACATTTTCGAAGTTGTTTTTTTTTTAGGAAATTGCAAATTATTGCTGCAATCGATCCAGGATATCCAGTTTATAATGGATTATTTTTGAAACTTTCTCATCGCATCTCATTTCCTGGAAATTAGATCACGGTTTGAAACGCATTTGCGAAACAGAAGTATATTTAGAATCTAATTAAACAATGATAAGATAGCGAAAAATGTAAATTCAAACAATTTTTTTTTAATTAAATGGAACTTTTACTGTATTACGTAAGATATCGTAAGTTTGTCAAGAAAAAAAATTAAATTTACGATAATCTCTCGTTATTCTCATTTGTTGTTAGTTTAGATAAATGAGATTTGGCAAAATTGATTTTTTTTTTATGAACTTATATGTTTACGTTTCTTTACGTAAAACGAAGAGTTATTAATGATGGGAGGCTTTGGAAACATTTGCAACTTGTTGCTCGCGGCGACGTCGAATCGTTGTTGCTTCAATTAATTAAACGTGCGAAGAAGAGTTGAACATATGATGATGAATGGTCGAATAATTCTCGTTTTATGCCATATTTCGCAAGAGAAATTCTATGATTATACATTGAATTGGTGTAGGGAGGAGAAGGAGGAGGTAAAAATCGTTGTGAAATTGATTGCTTTTCGTCGTGATTTTGCACATCTCTCGCTTCTTCCATCGCGGCGTGAAACTTTCTAAAAAAAAAAAAACGCGAAGCGGCAACCGAGTTTCGTAATCAAATAAATAATAATAAAAAAAAACAAACTTATTCTAAATGCTCCTATTTTTTTTGTTGCTAATGCTAAAACGCATTCAAATAATCGTTTTCAAATTACGTTTTTTTTCTTCTTTCGCTTAAAGGTTACGGATTTTAAGGTTTTACTTATTTTTTTTCTGCGGTGCTAATAGAATGTCGTGTATTTGCGTTCGGAATTTGTGTGTTAAGTGGATGATAATTTGGAAAAGGTTTCTTCGTGCACATTGGATGTTAATTTTCGATTATTTGCATCTGATGTTTTCCAATATATATTTTTTTGTAATCTTCTTCTTTTTTTTAATAGTTTTCTTCAGATTTTAGTAACTTTCTCGAAATTATAGATATAATGTATCAAACAGATTCATATGAGTCTATATCGAATTCGGGACAATTCTAATTCAAAATAAAAGTAACTGCGTAAGTTTGTTTGGTTGTAATACCCGGCGAATGCGCAAATAAAAATGATAAAGTTGTAAAAATGTAAATAGGAATGATGTAGTGCTATCAATATGTGTTCGATAAGTTATTACGTTGATGATGATGTATAGGGAAAAAAAACATACAAAAGTAATTGCGGTTGTTCGTTTCTCATTGACGTACGTAATTTTAGTGGGGCTTCGTATCTGTAATTGCGGCCTTGCGCTTGAACTTAACAATTATAGAATGAGAGCGAGCGAGAGAGTAAATAAATAAATGGTAACTGACTGCAACAAGTTTTTGTTTTTTTTTGGTCGTTTATGTTGCGTGGGTTGATTGAAGATAATGTTGATGAGGTTAGGTTAAACGTTGCGTGGGCGGCTGCAGGCTCGGATCGATAGTTTTCGGGGGAAACTTTTGCGACACCCACACGCCCGAAAATTGCTCTCTTCTGCCGAAGGGTTTTTCCGCGTGGGCGTCATCCCCGTCGCTGCACGGATCTGCACACCCTTTGCGCCCACGTCGGAAAGCAGAGCCGCCCACGCCGAAATCAAGAGCGCGTGACGTAACTCAGTTGTGCGGCGCCGCTGCTGCGTATCCTAGCAACTCGGTGGCGGTTACCGACGACGTCGACTGCTGCTGCGATCACGTACATTCATATGTAGTTTGGCGTCGCTCGTATATCTGATACGTTTTGTCGTCGTAGTCGTCGTCGTCGTGCGTGTTGCGCGCTATTTTCAGACAGATATTATTGCCGTCTGCGAGTGTTGCGGTGTGTGAGAGTTCTATATTATAAATACATTTAAAAAAAAAATTGTAACATTAATTGATGGTGTTTGTTTGTTTCAGTGCGGAAACCTGAACGTGTCAGAGGATCATCAGAAGCATCGAGTGACGATGGACGCAGGTGGTGGAGATGTTCTCGGTGTTGTCGCGAAGGATGCTGAATCTCAGCAGAGGTTGGCCGTGCTCAGTTACGAGCAGGTGAGGCGATTGAACGACGTTATGGACGAGGTGGTGTGCATCCACGGACGCGGCAACTTCCCCACGCTGGAAGTGAGGTTGCGCGACCTGGTGAGCGTCGTCAGGGGAAAGTTGGAAGCGGACACGGCGAACGGGGGCGCCGGCATGAAGGTGCGCGACATCAGATTGAACGGTGGGGCCGCCAGCCACGTGCTCGCAACAGAATCGCAACCGTACAACGACCTGGACCTCATCTTCGGCGTGGAATTCTCGAGCGGCAGAAACTACGACCGCGTCAAATCGGCGGTGCTCGGTTCGCTGTTCGACCTGTTGCCGGACGGTGTCAGCCGCAAACGCATCACCACCTGCAGCCTGAAGGAGGCCTACGTCAGCAAAATGGTCAAGGTGAACAACGACGGTGACCGTTGGTCGCTGATCTCCCTGGGAAATTCTCGTGGCTACAAGAACGTCGAACTGAAGTTCGTCGATACGATGCGTCGCCAGTTCGAATTCTCCGTCGACTCCTTCCAAATCATCCTCGACTCTCTGCTGCTCTTCTACAATTGCAGCGAGCTTCCCATCAGCGAGAACTTCTATCCGACCGTCGTCGGTGAATCAGTGTACGGCGATTTCCAGGAGGCTCTGTATCATCTGCAGAAGAAGCTCATCTCGACGCGGCATCCCGAGGAGATCCGTGGCGGCGGCCTCCTGAAATACTGCAACCTGCTAGTCAAGAATTACAGACCGGCCCGACCCGACTGCATCAAGACGCTGCAGCGTTACATGTGCTCGCGCTTCTTCATCGACTTCCCCGACATCGGTCAGCAGAGGGCCAAACTCGAGAACTACCTGTGGAACCATTTCGTCGGTCCCGAGGAGGAAACACTCAAACATCAGTACCTGGTGCATCTGCACGACGTCGTCGAGGAGTCCACCGTCTGTCTGATGGGACACGAACGACGTCAGACGCTCACCCTCATCAACAACCTCGCATGGCAAGTCCTCTGTCAGCAGGATCAGCAACGTCTGATGTCGCAACACCAGCAGCAGCAACAACCTCAACCTCCTCCACCCGGCACCTTCGTCTACGGCTGCTACATGTATCCGGTCCTCTCCACCTACAACTATCCTTGCACGTGCAACGCCACCTGGATGCCATGCTCGACGTGATCCGCCGACATCTTTGAAAACAACAAAAAAAACAACAACATAAACATCAACGTCATCACGATAATATGAGGGACACGCGCCACCCGCGATCATTCTCCACTAGTGTCGCGTCTATTGCGTCCGATAGACTCGCGAATCCACTTACAACAACAAAAAAGAAAAGTGCGCGAATCAAACAAAAAAAAAAACAAAAAATTTACAAAAAAAAAAACTAAATTATTAATTCTTAGTTCACACACATATACAATATACAAAAATAATCACAATGACTGACGTTTTGCGTGAAAACAAACAAAAAAACAAACTCCCTCAGCAACAACAATTTGTTTAAAACAAAATCATTCCGGAAGCAACCAACCAACCAATATATATATAAATATATTTAATAAATATTCAATTATATGAATCGAAAACGACTAAAGGAAGAGAAAAAAAATAAACCTATGAGGCTGAAACGAGTCGACGAAAAGATAAAAATTATTTACTATATATAAGTGAAGAAGTATAGAAATAATTATATACTATACATATATCTATATCTATATAAAGACGCATCATTGGTGTGTGGCTGTGAACACATTCATTTATTATATATACTTTAATCCAGTGCGTATAAATAATAATAATAATAACGAGATAATAAGTAATTTAATCTGGGTTGTGTTTATGTTTCGTTACGAAGGGTTTTCAATTATTATTTACTACTTTTACTTATTACCATTTATCTTTCTCAATTTCCTTCTTTCTTTCTCATTGTACATACAAACAAAAACATACATATATATAAGATAAGATACTATTTAAAACTATTACATTTTTTCTTGTTTGTTTTAAAAAAAGGAGCGCACGCGACTTTTCTTATTTCCATTACGAAGAAGAAAAAGTAAAACAGAGATCTCCAATTATCAAGTAATCCAAAAGAAACGAGAAAACAAAACAAAAAAACTTTTGCATTTTTCCCCTTTTTGTTTTAATTAAGTAATTAAGGTATTTATTGATTTTAACGAGATTTACGTTTAAGTTTCTTTATTCTTATTAATAATAGATGTATATTATCATTATTTTATTTGTTATCTTTGATTTTTAAATTTCGCGCCATGAAACGAATACGCAATCAATCAATCAATAAAAAAAAATAATTAAGTAAGTAGTGTAAAAAAAAATTTAAATTACTTTGATTTCGTTTCGACAACATTACGGGCATATCTATATAGATTCACAAGGATTTTTGCGCCGCCGCTGTCATATATATTTTTATTTTTTTGTTCATTTGTTGCAACGATTATTTTTTTTTTCGATTATATGTACATATGTGAAGGAAATGTTGATTAACAAAAAAAAAATGTTAAGTAAAGAAAATAAGTTAATTAAGTGAAGTGAAGATAAAAAAAAAGTAAATAGGTTATGTAGTAAGAAATTGTAAAATGTACAAGTGATGCTTAGATTGTAAAAAGTAAAAAAACGTGCATGTAGAGGATATATGTATATGAAGTATAATTTTTAAGTGGTAAAAGAGTTGAGAGAGAAAAGGAGAACACGCTGAGAGGAAAACTAAAATGTATATTTTTTTTAAGAAGAAAAACAACAAAAAAAAAATCACGTCGCCCGGAACGCAATAAGTATTAAAAACAAAAACAAAACATTAGAAGCCTATTTTTCTTACGGAAGAGATATTCTATTTTTGGAGAATTACCCTGGTTGGACGCACGACGGTTCGTGAGTAGAGAATAGATGGCGCCTAAAAATAGCCGAAAATGAAAGCTAAAAACACTACTCATAGATGGATGTTAATTAAAAGAGTAAATGAAATATATATATAAAAAGAAATAGTTACAGACACACACACACAGAGAGATGAGTACTTATTTTGCGGGGGTGACCGACTGAAGAGTTATCTATATAAATATATATTAAGTATAAGTTTAAAAACTGTAAAAAATAAAGAGAAATATCTATTATATATATATCTTGAGTATATATATATATTGTATACAAATTATATTGAAAACAAACGAAAATTGGGCGTCGCTAGGATACCCGCCATTTTAAATAATATTGAATGATAGTTTCTATGGCAACCGATATATAATGTGTATATAATATATATTTAACAAAGAAAACGAAAGAAAATTACACAAAAAAAAAATCTATATAAATGAAAAAAAAATCTAAATGAACTATATATATATATAAAAATATATCTATCTATTTTCAATGAATATAATAATTATTACTATTGTACGTTAAATATTATTATTATCATCATTATTATTATAATTTAAAGTAAATAAAAGAAAAAAAAAGCAGAACGAGATAATAAGTTGTATAAAGTGAAAACGAGATGAGATATAAATATATATTATTATTATAGTAGAGAGAGAGAGATGAAAGAAGCAAAAAAACAAGGGCCGGACTCGTATATATTTTTTTTAATCGTTTTAAGGTCCGACCAAAATCTCTCACGTTTTCTTTTATTATTATTATTATTATAAATTCATATTTTTTCTTCTGTGAAAAAAAAAACAAACAAATATTGTAATGTTATATTATTTGGAAACAAAAAAAAACCCAAAAAATAATAATAAACAAAGAAACAACAACAACAAACAAAAAAAAAAACACGAAAAAGAAATGGGATAAATATTTTTATTTATTTTTTTGGAAAAAATTATTTTCAAAAAATCCTTTTACCATCACACCTCCTAATTTTACCTCAACTTATGGATTCTTTTACTGTTTTCGTTTTACACATCACATCAAAGAAGCAATTGAACCTTTTACCAAAAACAATTGAAGCAGGTAAGACAAATTCTGTTTTGTTTTTAAAAACGATTTGATTTTTTTTTCCAATTTTAAATTATTACGTAACATTTCTTTGTGAAATTTCACAGAAACAATTGACAATCTCTTAAGACCTTTTACTTTAAGAATTGCAGCTCAACTGTTTCTATTGCGCACGTAACGAGACAATTGAATTCAAACAGGTAAGACAAATTTTGTTTTTTTGTTTGTTTGTTAGAAGCGATTTGATTTTTGTCAATTTTAAACTATTTATTAAGTTTTTTGGTGAACGTATAGAATAACGTACACTAAAAGCCGCACACATACAGTAAGTAACCTACATTTCATCGATTGCACTTTTACTTCGCGCTGCGAGGCCGGCCGTCCTTGCCACGACCTGAATACCTCCTCATCTTCGTTCTTCACAATAACGAAAAGCAAAAGTGAAGAGAAGTCAAACGAACTGAGCGAGCGATGGCCGAATTATTACGGTGTTACGCAACCAAAAAAAAATTGCTCTTGAAATCAAATTGAAACGAAACCGTTGCTCTAAATTCGCATTTCAATTAATTAAAACTCATATTTTAATACTAAACAAAGACAATTTGATTGATTAAACGTTGTTACTTGCACAAATTTACTGGAAATTTTCATTGAAATATCACAAATATATTGATTTTCTTGAATTAATTTTCTAAAGTATTTGAAAATTTAAATGTTTTTTTCATTATTCTGATTGAACTATTATTTTCAATATCTACAAAATCAGTAAATTACTTTGATTGATTTCATGCATTTTTTTTTTAATTAAATATACAAAACATGTTATTTAGTGAACTAAATCTCCGGATAATGTTTGTTATTGATACACGACGATCAGATCTTAATGGAGATACAAAATGGAAATTAATCGAGTGTTTTTCATCTTCCTTGTTTTTTTCCCCTTCATCCGGAAAACCCGAGTCTCAATTAAAATGACATCAATTCCGAGCGATTAATTAAACATTGATTTTATTCAACAACAAGCAGAAACACACGGCCGAATTGCAATTTATTATCTCCGTCCCCCCTTTGTTTTTTATTTGCTTCTGTATTTTTAATGGATTTCCATCAATTATGCTTCGTTTAATTTTCGTTTCGCATTTAATCTCCCCGACAAAACGTAATTGTTACATTTTATTTTTTGAGATTTTTGATGAAAAAAAAAAACATTGCGACTTTGCATTATTAATCAATATTGATAATTAACAGTTCAAATTTAATAACAGCGTTTTTCTGTCGAGTGACTAAATCGTAGATACGTAGAATTTTTGACGTTTTAAATTGACAGCTGTCATTTTGTGACACTTACAGTGTCAACTAGTGATTTGAGAAATGCTAATATACAATTATATAAAATTAATAAATTCTATTAAAATTTAACAATTATTACACACATCAGCGTTTCTCAAACGTTTTTCTGTCGTGCGACTAAATCGTAGACACCTAGAATTTTTGACGTTTTTAATTGACAGCTGTCATTTTGTGACACTTAAAGTTTCAATTCGTGATTTGAGAAATGCTAATATACAATTATATAAAATTAATAAATTCTATTAAAATTTATCAATTATTACATACATCAGCGTTTCTCAAACGTTTTTCTGTTGTGCGACTAAATCGTAGAAACGTAGAATTTCTGACGTCTTGACGCAAGTTGACAGCTGTCATTTTGTGACACTTAAAGTGTCAACTGATGATTTGAGAAATGCTAATATACAATTATATAAAATTAATAAATTCTATTAAAATTTAACAATTATTACATACATCAGCGTTTCTCAAACGTTTTTTTCTGTCGTGCGTCTAGTCGTCTACGTAGAAACGTAGATTTTTTGAAGTTTTGAGGCAAGTTGACAGCTGTCATTTTGTGACACTCAAAGTGTCATCTCGTGATTTGAGAAATGCTAATATACAATTATATAAACTTAATAAATTCTTTTAAAATTTATCAATTATTACATACATCAACGTTTTTGCTGTCGTGCGACTAAATAGTTTACAACATAGAATTTCTGACATTTTGACGCAGGTTGACAGCTGTCATTTTTTAATACTTAAGGTATCAACTCGTTACTTGTGACATGCTAATACACAATTATATAAAATTAAATTCTATTAAAATTTATCAATTATTACATACATTAGCGTTTATCAAACGTGTTTTTGTGGTGCGACTAAATCGTTTACAACATAGAATTTTTGACGTATGGTGACAGCTGTCATTTCGTGACACATTATACAATTGATGAGACCCATTAGTTGAGAAACGCTGTTATACAATTACAAAATGTTAATAATTAACACAAGAATAATAAAATTACAATTGTACTGTAAACGAAAGAAAGTATTTTCTATTAAATTTCTT